GTGTCCAGACACCCTTTTGGGGTCCTTGTATCCAATCACGGCATCAGGACTCTCTTCCCTTCCAAAGTGACTAGGGAACATCTGTGGACCAGCTTTTGCTCTAGTTGTTTTTCTGTTAGAGCCCACAGGGATACTGGTTGGCCGCTTCTTCATGGAGTGCAGTTCTGTCTGGCACAGGTCAGAATCCCTGACTCTGCCACTTCGTGGTGAGAAGGATCCTGGGCACATGTGTGTCTGGAGGCCGGCAGGATGCATCTTATTTTCTGGAAATTCCTACTGCAGCTGCTTTTGGGCAGTCCTCCAGACATTGACTGCTGTCCCACCTGCACTGGTTGTAAATAACTGTATAGCATTACCCTTCTTGTATTGTGAGCTGACATGATCATTTTGTCAACCCATAGGGGCAGAGTTTCCTTCTGTAGCTTCCACTCCCTGCTTAGAGATATTTTCGCACAGTGTTTTAATCTTGGAAATCCTCCTGGGGTATCAGAGTTATATGGTCCGTGAGATGAGAGCACTGTCAGGCACTAATTAGAGACTGCATACACAAGACATCAAATTGGATATATTTGGCATATCCAAATTTGTTAGTAATTGTAGTCTTAATGTTACTTGAAAGTTACTTTAAAGTAGAAAACTGAAAGTACATCTTGTTGGACATTTGGCCCTAGCTCTTCATATAAATGATCAAAAACACCGTGGGGAGGGAAGAATGTGGGGACTGGGGAGGGAAGAATGTGGGGACTAAGGTGGCAAACTGCAGTTTACTTTAGTTTAACCAGCTGTTCTCTCGGATGGTTGCTTCTACTGAATGTCAAGTTAAGAGTGCAATCAAAGGGAAAACTGTGATATGATAAAGAATAGAAAATGGCATGGGTACAGAGGCAGATGTACATTGAGAAGGTAATTAGATATAGGGAGTGAGAGGAAGTAGAGAGCCATTCATATGTTAACGGGGATGTTAAACAGTTGTTGAGAAGACTTTTCCATCTGGGTAGCTTGTCCTATCAGGAGTCATGGTTTAATTTGAAACCTGCAAAGAAAAACCAACATTTTTGAAAAAATCACGCAATGGCAGTAGCAGCTTCCCAGTAGCAGTTCAAAAATTGGAAGGGTGAAAACACTTAAATGGAAAAACTCCTGAAAAGGATGTCTTCTGACTTCTAATGGGATTTCCATTGTGCACTACAACTGATGGTGTATTGTAGTTCTCGAAATAACAACACGGACTAGACCTGATCCTTCTGCATTAAATGTTTTGGGTGTTTTTGCAAGCAAAAAAGAATGGGGCCTACTCTGGGAAACATAAAACAGAGGGGCAGCAGTGGTTTAATTCTTACAGTGCTTTTTTCTTTTAATCCTCAATTCCTGAATTTGTATGACTGCATGAGGCTATCAAATTTCATATGAATAAAGGGGAGTAAATTGATAGCCCTGGTGTTTGCAGTGGAAATCTTGGACAATATGAACTCTGAAGGTTCAAACAAAAAGCAAGAAGTCCCAGTTTCATCGTTAAAACTCATATTTTAAAATCCTTGGAGTTGTCCATAATGTGAAAGTTGTAATACAAGTGTTACACAGCAAAATGACAAGAAATTGTGATGTTATTTCCTGTTCTGTATACCTGCCATGGGCCAGACTTACAAAAAAGTAAAGCAGTATATCATTTAAGTTAAGCTCATAACCAGACTTCCTTTACAAGCTATGTTTCCAATTCCCTCTTCCTTCATACTTAACTGCCTCCACACTACTGGATTTTGTTCTAGCAGTTTCTGACCTGATATTTCTATGTCTCTCTGAGACTTAGGGTCAACATGAAGGGAAAATTCCCTTATGTCAGTATGCCTGTTGAAGATACTAGATCTAATGGAAGTATTTCAAGCACCTACTCAGTATAAGGCCTTTCTTAAAATACTTTTTCTTGAAACACAAGGGTTTTCTGTTAAAATTTGGTGGTAGCATAAATGAAAATTAGTCCTCCCTTGGATTTTGCAGCATAAAATCTGTGGCTTTCATCTTCAAAGCCACAACAGACTGTTCTGAATGTTCCTTCTTTTGTGGCCTGAAAGAATTAGGAAAATATGCGCATGCTTCATTTCTAATGTGTGTTTTAACTTAATCTCATAACAAGATTGGTGGAAGAGAAGCAGGCACTGTGTTGGAGTAATGAGAGCAAATCTCTAGATTTTTCTTTTTAAGAGCTGAATGTTTGAACACCCACCCCCCCCATTTCATTTTGTCCTAATTTACTTGTACTTGTACTTATGTCCATGTTTTCTTCCCTAGAGGGAACTGCGAAGAAAGGATTCAAAGTTCTCTCTAATTATAGTGTATTGCTGTTACAATAGTTAATGTGCCTCAGCAGAAAAATTTCTCAAGACAGTTGTGTCTGAAACTGGGCTTTGCTGCATTTTTTTTTTTTACATTTTTTTTGTGTTGCAGAGGCCCTTTACTCAGTTTAGTGCATTTGTTGGTAGGTCAGTAAATCTGAGCCACCTCAGATCAATTACAAAAGTGGGGAAAATTTCTAGATATGAAGGAGCACATGCAGTTATGACAAACAATTTTATTAATTTAGGAAAGATGGGTGAAATAGAGGAAGGAGGGGTGATCTACCTAATCCATTTTCTCTCCTCAGATGTAGAGCCTTCAAAGTGACTGCAGCTCATGCAGGATTGAAAGTGAGCTTGGCTAAAGGTCTTCAGTTTGAAATCCATCAGAATTTCTTTAATTTCTTTTTTGTGACATACTATCCTGTCTTTAATGCTCTTTATAACTGTTTTTTTTTTTCCAGATTGAAGCTGTGACTCTTCTACCGAGGGAGCCTCAGTTAGCAGTTTTCCAAACCAATCTCAGTAGAGGGATAGACTGAATTCAGAACAGTGAAGAAACACTTAGCAGACATAGTGTGTAAGTTAACTGACCACAGTAATGGGACGCATTAAGGGAGGTCCTTTAGTTTTGCTCTTTGAGATTGCCAGCTGGGAGACCTTGTTGCTCCCTGCAGTGGCAACCTTGCTGTATGGTACAGCCTGGTTCCTTGCTTGTTGAGTCTTGTGCACATTGTGCCTTTTACCTGCTTGCTGCTCTCTGCCTTCTCCAGGGCTGCTGGGGGGCTGGTTTGGTGTTCAGCAGTACAACATCTAATAACTTCATCATTCGTGTATCTGCTCAGCTGATTATTTAATTGGGTCCTTCTCTTACAAGTGGCTAAGTAAAGTGACTAGATACATTGCCTTACGTTGCAGACAGATAATTATTTGAGTGACTAGTGAGTTTTATGGTTGTGGTTTTGTTTTCATCCCAGTGGGGCACTGCAGTCACTGGGGAGTGATGTGAAGCTTGTTGTGGCTGACACATGTTCAACAGTTTGCCTCCAGAAATCACATACTGCTTTGTTTTTCCTGTGGAATAACTGTTGTTGAGGCATATGTAAGGAGGAGTCAATCTAATTTGACTTTTAGCTTCCAGTCATCTGAATTAGTAACAGGGCAGTGGATACTGGTAGAGGAAAGGCTAAAGGTTAACTAACAAACAGCAGTAACTAAGCTGATTCCCTGCTTCCATCTGTGACAAATTCCTCCAGTCCCTATATATCCTTCCTGATGCATCCAAGTGATAGATGAAGTTGTCTGTCATGGGAGACTACTGGTGAGGGGAAGAGGGCAGTGTTAAAAAACTACAATATGAGCATACTTAAGTACCTCCTACACTTGGTATGGTACAGCTTTCTCATGGTCCATCCAGACTTGTTGTTTTCTGTAGTCTGAAGTTACCCTGGGTTTTAGATTGGCTTTTGATGGATGGTAGCCACTTGGACCAAGATCTCCATGGTTGCTAGTCACTGTGGTATGGAGTGCAGGTGTCTGTCTAAGCCCTGTAGGCCAGAGTGTCAGAGAAGCACAAACTTGCTTGTGGGTAATGGCAGATTTTTTATAATTTTTTTTTTCCCTAGAGCTCACTGAACGGCCCTCTGGCCTAACCTTGTCAGGCATTCCCGGCCCCGGTTGATCCACATCCAGCAGATTTGTCATCCATACTACCGTATGGAATGTTATTGGCCTCAGCACTGGTTTCTGTTTTCTTCTGTTTTATGTCTGAATCTAGACTCCTGTGGGCTCAGAAGCCTTCTGGGAGCCACCTTTGTTATATTTCTTTTTAAAGCTTTGTTGGAGCACAGGCAAAGGACTCAGGAGTAGGGGAAGTTGAAAGGAAGTGTGGGAGCAGTATGCTTACCAACTCTAACTATGGTATTACTCAGAGTTGAAGTACGTGGTCTTCAGTATGGCTTTTTTCTTTTTTCTTTTTCTCTTTCTTTTTTTTTGTCTTCAGAATGGAACCAAAAATCTTCTGTGTGCTTGTTCTTACAGCTGTATAGGACAGGAAGCTGATTTAAGGAGAGAAACAGGAAAGTCTTTATTGCCTGTGGAAGGAGAAGCAAGATTTATATGCTTTGAAAAGGTATGTATTACAAAATTTACTTGCTAGAGTCCAATAGTCATCAATACTCATTTGCATTAAGGTTCTTTCTCTCCAGATTTGTCACTTCCTGCCACTTTCCTACAGAAAATTCCCGTAGCTTGCTGTTTCCAAGGGGAAAGCTAGCCTGTCCTTGTTCCCAAGATTCAGCCTTTGAAAATAATATCCCCTTAATCGTAAGACTATGTATCTAAAGAAACAATTCGTTTAGCTGTGCAACAGCAATTACAGTTGTTTTCAGTCTAACTGTAAAGCAAGTTCTGTCTTTTCATCGCCATTCAACGGCAGCAAACTTGATTAGGCCCTTTAATCCATAATGGAGGTACTACAAAACACAAAATGCACTGAGACCATACAATATAGACTGATAGCAAATGCAGAAGTAAATATTATAATGTAGCCAGTCCCACTGTTTTCTTTTCTTCTTTTGATTTGTGTATTTTCATGTTCACAGATCTACTGTAGTTTTCTGCCACTAAATGCTAACAGGAAAAAAAAACACCATCAAAAAAATTCAACTCATCGGCTTGAGGAGGTTGTTATAATGTATCCAGTGGCTATTCCTGCCCCAGGAGGTGAAGGCAATAATGGACAACATGGGAAACTTATTTTTTTCCTTTTTGTTTTTGGAGCTGTGTCGCTTTGCGCTGGATTCCTGCTTTCAGTCTTTATTCTCCAGTCGTGCCCATCTGGAACCTTCAGTGACTGTAATGAGGTCCTTAAGGCTGCTGGGCCTGTCCTGGCTGTAACTGGACTGGTTTGTGTTCTACTGGCACGATCAAGGGCCAGGCTGTATATAAGACAAAGACAATTGCAAAATGAGCAGGTGTACAGCCTTGTTTTTTGTCGTGGGAGCTGTCAGTTTGCCCAGTTTCTCATATTTGGATTCCTGTTTTTAACTAGTGGAATGCTAATTAGCATCCTGGGCATTTGGGTTCCTGGCTGCAGCCCTGGCTGGCACACCATACAGCTCAACCAGACTGGCAGTTCTGATGTGGACCTCCAGGGCTGTGGATTCCTGTCACTTCAAATCATGGGACCTTTGATTGTGCTCACCGGGTTGTGTTTCTTCGTGATAGCTCATGTTAAAAAGAAACAAAACTTAAATCTCAACCAAGAATCTTGCGAAAGTGAAGAACATACTCAGAGCCCTGAATCTTTTCAGGTTACAGTAGGTGGGTAAATAATGTGTGAACTTTACATTTGAGAGTTAGTAGGGGTTTTTTTCCACTAGTTGTTTACCTCTGAATATTACTTATTTGAGCTCTAAGCATATCAGTTCTCTGTGTTAAACCAGCAATACAGAAAAATGTTGCTTTTTGTCGTATGTTTTCTGTATGGTCAGTTCAGTTACCTTTCTCTGAGACAAAACCCCTCCTTTGGCATAAAAAGAAAAGTCTGACTTTCAGTGCAAAAGAAGGCACGTAATCTGACACAAATGAGTCCAATCACACTTACTTTCCCAAAGGGTGTAGCTGACACTGCAAATTACAGGTCTAATGACTTCTGTGACTGTATTTAAGATTTATTTTAGCCTTGAGCTCTGACCGCTTAAACAGAAGAATCTGATTCATAAGCGGTGTATTGTGGTTTCTTTAGTCATGGCCACATCTTCTGTCAGTCAGGTGTAATTGCATGATGCTTCTGTTAATTGCACAGTATTTGAGTAAATATAGTATGTTAGCAAAGAACACTCCTCTGCACGTAGTACTGCTTTAATAGCCCATGAATACATTCTATGCATAGATTATTCTGATAACTTTCTAGTTCTCAGAAAGGACTAATGAGTCAATCATAGTATTGCTTGACTGTCATCTGACTGACTGGACTTGAAATGCGTTATGCAAAACTTCTGCCAGTCAAATGAGTGTACAGACCTGTAAGCTGGTGACCCTCAGAAAATGTGAGGGTTTAAAGTCAGTTTTCCAGCCCCCAGAATAAATCGAAGAGTTGTAGAAAGGAATTCTGATTGTCTTTAAAGGTGAGAAAGCAAAATTAGTGGATTCCTTTTATACTTCCATCAGGAAAACTAAAACTGAAAGGCTGAAGGCTGAGATCTTGTTAGCATAGTGATGTTCTGGAACAGTGGTGACTCAGCTAGAAAACACCCCCCACCTCACTCAGCATTTTTGGTACTCCTTGACCTGGTCCCTGCACACAAATTACAAGGGAAAAAAGGTGTCAGGCAGCTGTGAATGTTTCTATAAATTATGCAAGCTCAGTGACTGATACAAACTTTTTGTTTAAAAAAACAAAAAAAAAAAGAAAAAAATTTGAAACTCCTCAATTACAAAGTTGAAACTGGCAGATATGCTGCACAGCACACTTAATAGTCAATTCTGTATCAATTGATCATGGTACTAATATCAGTAGTGTGCCTTCAGCTACGAGTAGTTTAGTAGGGAAACTGAAGGCACACAAAATCAGCTATCAGAACCACTAATGACTTGAATACTTTTGTTACAACGCTGTTGAGAAACTTAAACTGCCCTGTTTTAGGTATATGAGGAAAACTAAGTACTTGCCTACCCTTAGAGTGAGCCAACAGTGTCTGTGTGCTTTGCACTTCCAGTGTCTGAGGACAACCAGCAGTGAAGACGTTTGTGTCTCTTAGCCAAATGGAACACTCCCCTTCCCCAGCAGTATTTTGTAAATGAAATCTTCAATTTATGAGTATGCTGCATCTTTATTTTGGGGTAATTTTGGTTTTGAACATACCTCCAATGTGCTTTAACAGCCCAGAATATAACAGTTCTGTATGTGGGAACATTGCACTCTTATCTTAAAAGGTAGACAAGTACAAATACTGTAATTCCAAAGACAGGAAATATTCTAGGATACTGTTAGAATAAGCAATGGTGCTCAATTTTTCAGAGGTAGTAATTGTTTTTTTTTTCCTAGGTGATGCTGTAATGGTATTCCCACCTCCACCACCTCCTTATTTTGCTGACCCTGTGTCACCTACTGTGACACATTGTCTTATGTCAAGTGGTTTGCCTACAAGTGAAAATCCTCCACCATACCACTGTATCTTCAGTGATGGGTAAGACTCTGTTCTTCTCTGTCTTTGGAAAACTGAGCTGTTTCTCAAAGTATCCAAGACTATGTTCTTAAATAATCACTGTGAATAGCTGTCTGCTAGGCACTGCAAAGTCTTCTAGTGCATCATTCGGCTTCCTTCAGATACCTTACTTGAAATGGCATTAAAATATCCTAGTATAAAAGGCAAATCACAAACCACAGTGTCCTTCGTGAGGGTTAAATTATTACTAGTTTATTATGACTGAAAAGAACTTCTCAAGTGAGAAGAAAGCCTTAAATCAGTGGCCTTATTTAAATATACTTAGGTTAGATTTCTTCCACAGATTATCCAAGAGAAGGTGCCCTGACAGCAGTGCCCCAGTGGCATAATATCCATGCTGCTAGATTTTTAGGAAGCCTCTGTAGAACCAATGTGGTGAGCCCTTTATGACACCAGTCCACAGGCTCTGTGACCTGGGCAATGCCACTTTAGTGTATTCTGTTCTTGCCATGCACACTGTAACCCTTATCTCACTGCCTTGAAGTGGGACCTGCTGTGCTGATCTGCATTGTTCCTTGATATTGCAGAAGAGCAGAAGGCTTCAGGGATCTTAAAAGGGAGCTTGCAATGCCAACTTCATCTCAAGATGTTGTACCCTACCCATGCAGCCACTCTTCTGTACATTGAGTAGAGGTGATTTGGTAGATGCTGCCACTACGAAACTCAGGCAGCAAGAACTGCTGACTGACTGAAGAGTTGTCTGCAGCATGAGAATTTGCAGGGTTATTTATCCCCTGTGGGTTACCACCAGTGGGCTGCTATCTTGAGGGTGAAAGAGGTCACTGCAAGGGCCACATACTGGGAGCCAGAACTAGATCTAGCCAGGAGATCGGGATGCCACATGCCTAGAGCCCCCAACTTATTTTCAGGCCCTTAATGATCCAGGATTGACTTGTCTTTACCTTTTGAACAGTCCTATGTCAGCTTGGTTTTGATCTGAGTCAGTAGGTGGTGTGGGACTTTTTCATTGGATGACTTTAGTTTACAAGACTCTACCTGCAGCGTCCTAAGCACCATCACTGCAGCAAGAGCCCCAGCCTGCCTGGCTGTGTCCAATTGTAGTTATTGGGCCATTGATTTAATAGCTTTCCACTACACTCCAGGCTTCTCCACTCATATGAGGCAGTGCATTCCATGACCAGCTGTACCAGCTGTGTGCCTGATGTCGGCACTTCTTCAAAACTCCAGTGCCAATCTTCCTTTTGAAGCAAGCCAGCACATACAAACCCTCTTCCTGCCCAAAGACCTAAATGCCAGAGGAGGAGGAGATTTGTGTTAGCAATGGTGCTTATTGTTGTTACCATGCTGTGTGCAGCCATGTCTGTGGTTTTTTTAGTCTTCCTTTGAAGTATACCTGGTGTATTCTTGAGGCTCAGCCCCACTGTGTGAGGCACTCTGTTCTCTAGTCAGTCACTGTCAACAACTCCTCATGTTATCTTCTGTTTCCTAGTACCCTTCTCCAAACATTTTCTCCCCATCTCTGTCGGAGACAGCAGATGCCTCCTCCTGCTGCTATTACCACAAGCCAGACTGTCCTTCTGCCTTTTCTCAAAATTACTTTTCTTTTTTTAACATAGAGTAAACACCTCCCTATCAAACACCCTACTCTCTCTTTCTTTCTACTAGTGCAACACTCTCTAGTCCACAGGGGGACTGGCCCCCAAACAAAAAAATGATGACATACATACCACCTAGGGAAGGGGGACACTCAGTGTTTGGTTCCCATTGACTGAGGTCCAGCTTGAGGTTGGTGACTTATGCTGGGGGATGCAATACCTAATAAACCCTAGCAACGCATAATTCAGTCTGCTGGTTTTCCACCTAAATTGTTTCAGAGAGAGTACTTTTTGTGCAAAGCTGATGAGAATCTGTGGGTTACTCAGTGCCCTAAACACCTACCATTCAAGATGACAAGTGTAGGTGCAGGGATGAGAAAATGTCAGGGTTGATCAAGCAAAAGTGCTTTCCAGAAAGCAGTGGTTCTTTAACACCAGGCACAATTGTTGTGTGTAAAAACATTTTATTTTGTTAAATATAGAAGTCTTTGCCTGTTCTCAGATTGCAAGTGAAATATATCAGCTCTCACAGCTATACTACTGCAATCAAAGGACACTCAGAGCAAGCAGGAGAGAATATAAACTGCTGCTGCTGAAAGGAGGAATTTACATAAAGTCTCTGTGTTCTTACTGGGCTGGGTGAACATGTCTGCAGCTGGAAGGTGTTTCATACCAGCTGCTGCTAGTACTGGAGTTAAGCACCACACTAAGCCTGTCTGTGCTACAGCATGCACTGTGTCTCCCTTCTGGCATGTACATCCCAGATGTAAGTACAAAGCAAATGGATGTGTGTGGAGAAAGAAGTTGCCCTGAGTGTGAACCTGGACCTCTGATAGCTCTAAGACAGCCAAATCAAATATGGTCCAAGGGCACCCTCAAAAAACATTTCCGTTTAAATACATTTACAAGACCAGGCTGGAGGGGGTAACGGAGAAATACAGGAACATACATGTTCTGCTGTAGCCTTGCAAGCAGCTGAGAGACAGAGTGACTCCTGTACCACCTGTCTGTAAAAGTACAATGCGCAAAACAGGGCCACAAGTCCTCTCTATCCTGTAATTTCAGGGCCCAAGTTCAGATGTGGGCTGCATGCCCATGTGCTTCATAAAATGTGTGGATTATCAAAGGGTGTGAAAGAATACAAACAGCATATCCTGCACTGAAAAATAAAAAAAAAATTGACCTCTCTTTCCATTCTCCTACAAAATCCCCTGCAGATGAATAACTGTCTCAACCCACAGATGTCCAGGTCTGGTGCTCCAAACTTTGTGTGTGACCCCATCAGCTCATTCATCATTGACTGTCTGTCTGGACTTCTCTATCTTGTGAACATATGTACACAAAGAGGCAGTTTGTAACCCAGCTTGTTGGGGTAGTTTCTAGCGGAGTGGACAAAACACCTCAACCTTGGATGCAGAAACACTGACCTCCTCCTTTGATGTCCTGTGGCTGGGGGGGCTGTAGCTGTTGCTCTTCCATGCTCCCCAGGGTCCTCACAGAGACCCTGTGAGTTGATACCACCTCTGGGTATTTCACTCGATCGTGCTCTCCCATGGCTCAGCATTTCGTAGCAGCCACGGCATCTTGACTAGTGCAAATTGGTTTCCAAACCCTTTCATGGAAGAGAAGCAGTGGCCTTGTTCCTTGTAACATGGTGCCATGGTTGAAAATCCCAAAACTGGAAAGGAATACCTATTTAATACATGGGTGGTTACTAGGCAAATGTGATTTGCCTCTTCAGTCTATTGCTCCATGTTCTGTCAGCCAGTGCTGTGAGGGAGGCTGTGCTGGAGAGAGCTCATAGGAAGTAGAGTCATGGTCTGATCGCAGAAGTGGTTGGGTTTTTTTCTTGCAGTGTGTTGTACAGCGCTTCAGCATTTTTCTTGTAGTGTGTTGTCTTCTCTCTCCTTTAAATACATACCCTCACACACCAGTAACAGCACAGAAGATGGGGTAACTATGCTCTCTACTCCTGCTCTTCATGCAGTATTGGTGGGGGTACAGATGTATGCACAAAGGCAAGAGTCAGCTCTGGGAGCGAGTCATGAGGAGCAAGTTCTTCCCTTTCCTTGGGAAGCAGCTGAAGCAATATGCTGAGAGCTAACTCCAGGGTGAGATGAGCAAGGTACCAGTACCATGCTGGTGCAGATGGCAGGGATCCATTTATGATGATCAGAGGCGGGCAGTGAATACTTGGCTGCCCTCCTTGACTGTCACTGGGAATTTAGCAGTCTGGTCATGTCCAGTTGCTTCTGTTTCTCCAGCCCTGAGCAGGAGTGCTGCTCCTTATGTCTGTAATGTGTTGCTGGAAAGCTAAATAAAGGTTTCAAGTTGCCTTTTATGCAAGGTCTCAAATGGCTAAGGATTGTGACTTTTGTGATGCAATTCTAAGTCTAGTAACTGTCTTTCATAGGGGAAGGGGACAGTGTGTATGTGGTAAGACTACAAAAGGGATGATACAGTAGGAGCTAAGGATCAGAAGACAATTTAATAATATTGTGAGATAGCCCCACCCCAAGCAGTTAATACCGATAAGCCAGGCTGTGACTGGTGATGTGAAAGGTTAGAACGGAGCTTGTTTGCTGTTCCCCACTGAAGTAATAGAATTTTCATATGACTCATAATGTGGCCCACAGAATGAAATCGTAATGCTTATTCAAGTTCTTTGCTTCAAGGATTTTAGGGCGTGTGTGCATACATCTGTGTTTATATAAGTCAAGTGGAATTTCACTCGCTGTAGAGAAATGAATTATGCTAATATGCAATTTTGTGTTTTATAGAGCACTGCTTGCAGATGATGAAAGAACAGGTGCTGGTAGAGACTACGAAACCATATATACAATATCTGGAAGCAGCCCACCTTCAAATATTTTACCAGTGCTGTACCTCTCCTCTGAATCACCTCCAAAATATGAAGAAAAAGCATCAATAACAAATAATGAATATTCTCCATCTTCTTCTTCATCTTCTTCATCTGTTTCCTTAGCCACATCTGACACTAGCTCATAAAGGATTGTCAGACTTCATTTTTAAACTGAATTGTAGTCTCAGATTTGCGATTTTTGAATTAATTTAAATTTTGTAATAAAAGCAATAATGTTGGCTGTGTCTAATTTTTCATCAAAAATCATAAATTATTAATTTGAGTTTCAAGAAATACTAGATAATGCTGGGCTTCTGAGCAAGTAGTCTGAAGGGACTCAGTTCACTGCAACAATGTTAAATGCTCATCCTGTTCTGTTACAGCTTCAGTTTCTATTTTTAGTTGTTCTTTATATAATGGAGGCACTAAGTAGAGACCAACTTTTTTTGCTTATTTTAATTAAATCTGTTTGGAGCTTTGAAAAAAAAATAATTAGGAAGTGTTTTTATTTCTATTTTTGTATAGCTTTTGTGGAAAATACTTGTTTGCAAAGTTATTGACTTTGTATGTACTCTGAGAGCATCACAAATAGGAGTGTTTAAGATTGAGACCAAATATGTTATGGAGAACTTAAATGGTTACTTTTTGGTCTGCCTGGTAACAGACACTCCGTAGCTTAATTTAGACCCTCTCTGGTCCTTATGTAAGTATAATCCCTATGAAAATCAGTTTTAGCCAGCAGTTAAGAGCCCTAAGGCGACACTGAGGATAGTTAATAGGCTAACAGTTTAACTGTGGTAATGGCTGATTTCAGGGGGATTATACTGCTGTTGTACATCATCATTCATGGTTTATACAAGGAGCGCTTATTTTGTGAAAGTGAGCGCCAGTCAGCAGTGCTATCTCCCAGATGCAGACATTACTTATCAGCAAATGCAAGAGAAGCAGTTTCATGGAAATGCACGCAGCAGATGCTTTTAACAGACACAGCACTTGACAGACCCTTCAGAAATACAGCCCTCTTAGTTCCTTTGTCGCTGTGCAGCCCCTAAGTTAGCGGTAGCTGCCTGCCTTTGGGATGGAGTGACAACAGGTTCTAGTTCTATTGTGTGATTGTTTGCACCCATTCCCAAACTGAAGGATTTGCGTGTAGTAGGTGAGGATAATTAGCAGGAACCAAGTTGTTGCTGACCTTTGACGCTTTACGACTTGCTCTAAACCCTGTTTGAGAAAAACAGACCTGATACTGTGCCCAGAATCGGAAGGCGGCAGAGCTACTGTTTGGGCGTGGTTCAGCATGGTGAACTTCACAGCATTAGAACTTCTTGCAAGAGCGATCTCTGTCTTGTTCAGCTACTTCTTTGAACACCTGCATGCTCTGGGACCTCAGCTACATCTCAGCTTCTCTTCTGCCATGCTGAATTTCAGGGAACCTGGCTGTAACAGAATGCCAAGCTTGGAATTAAGCACTCAAGTTCCCTCCTGTGCCTAGGGAAAGGTGATTGCCTTGCGTCATCTTTCTATGAACATGCCTCTCACCTGCAGAGAGATGTTCTTTAGGGAGATGTTCAGGAGCTCCTGCATTTGGCCCTTTATTTCCAACTCTGCATTGTTCCCTCAGTCGTGCTAGGGCAGCTCTTTGTGCAGCCACACAAAAACAAACGAGCCAGTGAGGGAGGTATATTTAGCCAGCAATAGAGCTGAGGGGCTTATGCATGCAGAGTAATGAGCAAACACAGCACAGAGAGGGATTTAGTATGTGGGAGCCGATTAAACTGGCATGACTCAGCCATGGGAAATGTCTATATGAAGACAGGGCATCCACAAAAGCCAGCAGGCATTTTGTCCTCTCAAATGTTTTTTACCTAGTGAGTTTTTCAAGGATAGTGATCCATGAATGTTTTCTGTAATCCAAACTATGGTTTACCATCTTTTTTTGTGTGTTTTTTTAAAGCTTTTGTTTCTAACCTGATTTTTAACAGTGGCACCCACTGACCTGCGTGATTCATGCATACAAACCGTGAACATTTCGAAGGAGTTTGTCTGTCTTTCTGGATTTGTCATGCTATTATATAGCAAGTACAGACGCTGGGATATTTTACCTAAAAGATCCCATGCAAACAAAGACCCATGTTGGTTTTGTTCTGTTGTTTGAATTACAAATGAACACTCATTTGCTGAAAAGGTTAAACATCAAAAAGCATTTACTCTAAACAAATCTTGAAATATGTCACCATCTTTGAAAAAAAAAATACAGTCACATCTGATTGCTAACTGTAAAGGCAGTAACTTTTTGTGCTGCAATTTGCTCAATCAGTTGTTCCCAAGATGTACCCAAGAGACCAGGCAAATCAAGTAGAATATGTTCAATCTGAGCTAGGTCCTCTGGAACTGAAACATGATCTGCTTGTTTTTCTTCAAGGTTATTGTGTTTTGTTCTTCTACTGCAGAGTCTCCAGTGTGGATCACTTTATTTCTAAAAAAAGCAGTCTCCACAGAAAGCATGCTTGAGAAAGCTGCTACCTGACTCTTCAGGGTCAGCATCTGAATTTGGTTGGAAGGGTAGGTGTTACTTACCTCTGAAAATGAGGATTGAAAACAGAATTTCTCTCTATATCGTTTTGAGAAGATGCTTAGGAAATGGTTCAATGTACAGCTGCATTAGCATCTTCTATTTTTGACTTGGAGAATCATTCCTTGAAAACTGGGTGGGTGTGTTGGGTGCATCTCCATAACTTGCTCAGCACTGAGAGAGCTAACATAGCCAGGGCAACAGTATTTGCCTACTGTGTTGTCGAAAGGTTTTTTCAGCAAGGTCAGAAATATAAGAAAGAGGCTAGCAGATCTGCTTCCACCACTGAAGGCTACCACTGGGTGAACAGGATTAGTGGGAGGAATTTTTGATGTAGGGAGTAGGGGTGAAATGTCTGTATTGGAAAGGAAGCAACACCTTGTAAAACTATAAAAGTAGCTTAAAATAATACGGAATAGCATTTTTATTGAGGAAGTGAGATACTTTACCGTCACACTAATGGCGCTATAACCCCCTTTCTGCCCTAAGGTTAGCTTAAGTGCTTGACATACAAATGCTAGGGAGCAAATCAAGTTGGTTACTGATTCACACTTACTTAAACAGGCAAAGTGGGAGGTATGGATTGCGTATCCTCTCTAAGTGAAGTTAAGGACTTTCCTTGCTCTCTGTGCTGACATTGGTCTGCTTCTAACTGTGTCCCTACAATCCTTAGGATATGAACAGGATTCACAAAAATATAAATGGATGCTTCTTCTCTAGCAGAAGTCTTTCTTCCTGCATCACCAGCAGCTAAATAAAATGAAAAGTTAACTTGTCTAAAAAACTGACATTGCACAGATCTCTGCAATGATGCTGTGTTTTTAGGATAGCAGCATGCGCTGGATTGCACCCACCCGATCCTTGCCTTTTATGGTTGGCAGCACTGTATCCATCTATCTCCTTTCCATCCTACCTTGTCAGTCATGGCTTGTGCGGCATTTCTGTGTCCAGGCAGACAGTTTTGCCATTCTGCGGCAAACATGTTAGCCATCATCTAGATCTGTACTCCTCCCTCTATCGCACATGCATGTATCTGGATAATTAGGTATGGAAATACCTTCAATTCGCTGTGCGTGCTGACAAGACAAGATTCCCTGGGAGGATATAAAACCACCTTGCAGGTAGATGCAGTTGTGGGCAGCTGGCTGAACCTGCTCCGTGGAGCTTTGAGGCTGGCAGTGCAGCAGTACAGGGTGCAAGGTCCACTCGTAGTGGTTCTTTAGGTACTGCTCTTACACACGTAATTTGTGTTTTCCACTGAGGATGGCACACACAGTGGCCTTTCCCTAGGAAAATGTCTCTCTTAGTCAAATCACTGGCTCCTTAACTCCCTACAATCGAATGTTTCATTATAGAGTAGTACTTTACTTTATACCTACTTTTTTTTAAGCCAGTCAGCGTGCCGTACCATGGTATAATTTTCTTTCACACAACATCCTTTGCGTGTGCTATGACTACGTCCCTGACTATATTACAGGCAGGTAAGAAAATAAAACCTGACTACAGTGGGCTGATAATGTAAATAGTTATGTAGAAATAAATAGCGAAGGAGAGGAGAAAAGGGTTAAGTGAAGGCCTGTCAGTGTTTACTAGGATGACATTTGAAACAGGTTAGAGAGCTGCTTAGTTACAGAAAACCTGCTTCCAGCAGCAAGCGCTGCAGGTGAAGTCTGCATTGGTGGTAGAAAATTATTTAGAAGAACAGAAAGTGAAGCAGTGCTTGTGTTAGGGGTAAGGTCCCTGAATCAGATGGGAACAAAGCTGTAGTGAGATCCGAAAACAGCACCCACTCTGAAAACCTCGCTCTGACCAATTGCTTAGGTTTCGCAAAACTGTTTTCATTTGTTTAGGAGTTATTCCAGGTAAAAGGACATGCATTTAGTAAATCAGCATCTTTAAGTGAGTTCCCAGAACATACACTAACTTGGCAAAGGAAAGTACTGGCCTTAAAAAATGAGTGTGATCCGGTAATCTCTTAAGACCTTGACAGCTGCCTGAATGCAGCATTGCCACTGTCTAGGGAAATAATGGGAGAAATGTGGGGAAGCCTAAAGGAAATGATATCTTACAAAGATGGGGCAGTTTACAGGGACAGGTGTAATTTTAATTTAGATCCTACTGCACCAAACAGAAAGTGTTTTCCATCCCATTTTCCAAGTTCAAGTGACAAGTAGCTTTGGAAGAAACCAGCTGTGTTCTCCAGCTCCACTGTGAACTTGCTCAACAACCATGAAGTCATGTCGTAGGCCAGAGGCAAAAAGCATCAGCCATGGGGTGATGGAGCCCCCAACTTGGAAAACTCTGACTCCAGCCAGCATCTAAGGACCATTGTGCAGGACTGAGAGTGCTCCAGCACAATCCTGTTGCAAATAGCAGTTGCAGAGTTCTTGAATGAATGAGAGGAGGAAGGCGACACTACATCTGTATATACCATTAGTTAGACAGCTATTATGATACAATGCTGCTTTTAAAAGGATGTTGGAAAGCCTGGAAGATTCAGCAAATGGCAACAAGAATGATTCATGGTATGGAAAAAACTAACTTACAGAGAGTACTAACCGAAATTCATTCCATTAAGTTTACCAAATACAAGG